GTATAAACATTATGTACATCATCAAAGATAGATACTCTAAGTCTTCGTATATTAACACCATATTGTTAAAGATTGCATTCAATGTGTTAGTTGTTCATAATTCTGACGTTTCTTGTGAACAATGACCAACACAACAACTAAAAGTAGAAGTCCTCCTAATGCTGCTCCCGTGGAAATTAACAGAATGTAATTATCTCCATTGTCCTTACAGTTGACTGCCGCTATTAAAGATAATGAAAATATATTAAATCTCTAAATATCAGGTTTTATCATCGTATTAAGTTTACATATTTCGACCTCTAATTTGATATCTGTGCTCGACGTCGTTACCATGCCAATGCAAATTTATTCTGCTCATTATTTATATTATATCAATTTAACAAAGACGTGGATATGGTTTCGTCCTTGCAAGTAAAGATAAGAATATTGGTGTAAACAAAAGATAATAGAAATACATTATTAGCAGACCTATTTTCTTATTCTTAAGCAACATTTATACATATTCACATTATGTACTTAAAAAAATACAACAAGTTTGTTTCATATGGGAAATTTTACAAGAAAAAGACTATTATGTTAACCTAAATATGATTAGTTCTACTTTTCTATTAACAACTTCCCTTCCTTTTGAAGCAATATACCCTGCATATTGGATTTATAGTCATCTCCATATGTGCAAAAATTCTTCAAGAGAGAAGATAAACAAACAAACGAACGAACGAAATGGGTTTTATATCTCCCACTTGGTTCCATACGCAAAAAACATGCTCCATGTTCGTAATGTCAAAAACGAGCAAACTATTAATAAACAAATTGATGAAGCAAGGATATCAAGGAGTCTTGAATAAAGTTTTATTTAGAGTTGTCATTTCGCAATTTCTATGGTCGATGCATAATTATGTCCTTATCAGCAAATACAATGGTTCATTCAATAGAAAACAGACGGTTTCATACTTAGGCCATTATTTTAACACTGGCGACATATTAATTTTTTTTTTCGTTTGCCCGATTATAACAATCAGCACGCTTGGGTTTGACCAGTCAACAGGGGATGCTTGCTCCTCCTGGCACCTGATCCCACTTCTATTGTTTTGAAGTATGTGCTAGCTTTGCTTCCGATTTGTATTGTTTAAACAGATTTTAGCGTGATATCGGTTACTTCCATATTTTATACACATGAGTTCTGTTTGACTCAATTTAAAAGAAATTTGTATTTAATGAAACCTACCGCTGAAAGCAGTTGAATTCTCAGTTTTGAAGGCTTGAAATTGAAGTTCCTTGGTTATCATAGATACACCATTCTGAATGTTAAATGTAGACTCTTTCTTGCACGTGTAGCTTTGATCCTTATTTGTTGTCAGTGCATTCAGATTGGCAGTAACAGCTGTTTTATTTGTACCGAGAGCTGCAATAAGAAATAAATTCGATTTGACGAACTATAATACAAAGACCGTGGTGTCAGTTGTCATACATTGTCTACATCAAGCATGACTATTGAGTACATTTCACTTACAAACAGTTCAATTTTCAGTACGATTCACAAAAACTAACAAAATTTAACTAAATAATCAAAAGTTCATCGTACAAAGTATGGTAAAATCTAGTTAACTAGTTAAATATAGGTTGTCATAGTTTAATGTTGACCAATGCTTTCACTAACCATTGACACCTTCAGACCTCGAAACTATGATTTACAGATGAGATTTTTATTTCGCTATAACAGTTAATAAGAAAAATCTTTTGCAATACATTTGTGAATTTCAAAACACCTACATAAAAATTAAAATAGAAAAAATATGTTTATTCACAGGTAGAATTTTGACAGTTTACACGTGCTATTGAGGGAAAATATTGCACTTATATTAATTTAATCAAATTTCAATTTTACAATATATATATATATATATATATATATATATATATATATATATATATATATATATATATATATATATATATATATATATATATATAAGCACATTTTACAACAACTCTTAAATTAACATAACTGCCCTAAGAGAAGAAATATTAATATAGAAAGCACAAAGAAATTCACTTTTACAAGGATACCCACTTCCGCCCCAGCCCGGGGTTGAACTCTCGACCTTCGGAATCTGTCTCCTAGCAGTGCAGGAACAGCGCGCTAGACCGCTCGGCTATCTAGACAAGTCAAAAAACTTGCTTTCGACGCCGATGGAATTCTCACGGCGCTGTCCTACACTACACGGTCATTGAAAATAGAAGTGAGATATATGCAGTTATTTGGACATTAGTTTTAACAGAGGATTGTTACCAATATTGGTAACAATCCTCTGTTAAAACTAATGTCCAAATAACTGTACAGTACCGACCAGACCCAACCTGACACCAAAGCAGTCCCAGAAAGCAGACCCCGGGACTGCTTTGGGACTGCTGTGGGACTGCTCTGGGACCGCTGTGGGACTGCTCTGGGACCGCTATGGGACTGCTCAGGGACTGCTATGAAAAGCAGTCCCAGCAGTCCCAGCTGCCCCTGGGACTGCTTTCTGGGACTGCTTTGTTCACTCATGTGTGAAAAAGGTTCTGAGTGACATGATAGCTCCGCCCCCTTGTGTATTCTGAATTTGCAGGCTCCCTATTGTTTTGTTTACTTGCAGCAGAGAGGAGTTTAAACTGTTTAATAAGCAAGGATTTCTTACATTCTTTTAATAAGTAGAGATTATTAGACTTAATTTATATTTTCAGGGACTGTATACTGACACAAATTAATGTGTATTTAGATTTTAAAAAAATAGGTTGATAAATAAGGAATTCATGAGAAAATTTTTATCCCTAAAAATAAACTACAAGTTTATGAGAAAAAAAATAGCTATATGTGGGCCTTTTTTAATTATCTAATTTGAATTTTAATTTGTACTCAAAATTTGCATTGGTACATGTACTATTTAAAAATAATCATTACAATGAAAAATGAAAATGCTACACATTTTATAAGGATCACGCTAAAAAAAGAGTATTCCATGTAACCCTCAAATAAAACCCAACAATTTATTAAATGACCATGAAATAAAATTATGCTACCATTCTCCCGTAACATAAACTATGTGAATAATCATTGGGGAATTAATTAATTACCGGTAGCTTTAAAAGAATAAACAAGTTATTAAAAGGGTATATTTATTTTTTTTTAAAAATGAAAATACCGGGAATTGTGATTTATTTCTTATCTGTTTTGCTTGTGTTTACCTGGCCGATTAATGTTTATAAGATGGTATCAACACCCATTGTTTCAATCGCCTTTGGGCAGAAAAATCGATATATGTTATTTGGGTATTTATATCAGTGTTACACATCATTGAACATGCTGGTAAACAATGACCCTAATTTCAATTTATTTAATGCGAAAAAAATGTGATAAATGAAATGTGTATAAATTTCTTTTGGGATTAATTAATTTTGAACATAATCTGAAGTTTCCATTCTGGTGATTTACAGGTGTACACTCTAACATTTACAAATAAAACACTTAAAACTGAGTTTTATAGAACTAGGCATTAACGATAATTAAATTGTCATGTCAGTAAAAATAATCATGACTGAAAAATAATACTTGGCAAAATTAACAAAAATTTTTTTTTAAAAGCCCCAATAACTAAGAAAACTCTAACTTTAGAGTATCCCAATAGTCTAAATTGGTCATATAATAATAAGATCTATTAAAGCTTCTTCTGGTGGAAAATAATTAATTCACGTTTAATTTTCTGTATATGGGAACCAGTATCAATCACAGAGGAATTATTAATATACCCAAGAATTGTGATTAAATATTCATGTTCAGTGTAATTCATATATGTACATGTAAGTGTGAAAGCCTTCTTCCTCCAATAAATATTATAATTATTTCAATTTTTAGGCGCATACATGTTCTGTTCATAAATGACCTTCGCGTACATGTAAGGATTCCTGGCATACTACCCAGAATCAATTTCTACTGCCTTTTATAGTTCCATTGTTTATTGGAAATCTCATTTCTGAGTTAGCTCCGCCCATTAATTAATAAACCCCGCCCACTGGGACTGCTGGGACTGCTTTCTGGGACTGCTGGGACTGCTGGGACTGCTCTATGGGACCGCTGGGACTGCTGGGACTGTTGTGGGACTGCTCTGGGACCGCTGTGGGACTGCTCTGGGACTGCTGTGGGACTGCTTTAGCAGTCCCAGAAAGCAGTCCCCGGGACTGCTCTGGGACTGCTTTGTGTCAGGTTGGGTCTGGTCGGTACTGTATCTCACTTCTATTTTCAATGACCGTGATATTGGTAACAATCCTCTGTTAAAACTAATGTCCAAATAACTGTATCTCACTTCTATTTTCAATGACCGTGTAGTGTAGGACAGCGCCGCGAGAATTCCATCGGCATCGAAAGCAAGTTTTTTGACTTGCCTAGATAGCCGAGCGGTCTAGCGCGCTGTTCCTGCACTGCTAGGAGACAGATTCCGTTGGTCGAGAGTTCAATCCCGGGCTGGGGCGGAAGTGGATATCCTTATAAAAATGAATTTCTTTGTGCTTTCTATATATATATATATATATATATAAATATATAAGATATAAAACCAGAGGTACTGTGAGCAACGAGCTCACTATATGATACCCCCGCCTCCCATATGGTTAATGATGACAAAGTCCATGTTTTAATGTGGCCGTCAAACCTAAATTATGTGTCGGATCAAAAAGTAAATAGGAGGTGCACAATGGCAATATGTAATTAAGATTTTGTGAAAGTTTCATTAAATTTCACTCAATGGTTTAAGAGGAGTTGCGGATAAGAGATGGGTACCCTAAAGCGTAACAGACGGACGGACGTACAGACGGACGGACAAAACGATTACTATATACCCTCCCGTTTATAAAAATAATAGTATCCTTCATCAAATAAGAAAGAGGAAATCTTCAGGATAGAAATTATGCATGCATGATATTTTCTTATTATGAAAAATTCTTTAAATGACCTGAATTGAAACAAGTTACTCACTGCTGTTTACAGCATCTGTAAAAAGGTTGTTATCAAAATCATAATCCAGCTCAATCTGTGAGATGTGGTACTTTGTAACTTTTTCTCTTGCTAAACTTTCACTTTTCTGTACATCAGAGGAGAAGTATATGGTCAACTTCCAGGTATTGTAAAATCCAATAACTATTTTCTGGGAATAATATCCGTTTAGTGTTGTGTTGCAGTCCCCAGTTACAGTGTATCTATCTGGTAGAGAGATAAATTCTGTTGCATTCTAGAAAAAAAAAATGAAAAGAAAACAATTTGATTTAAAAAGAAAGAACGCCAACTGTTTTTTATGCCCCCCGCTTGAAAAGCGGGAGGGTATATAGTAATCGTTAACTCCGTCCGTCTGTACGTCTGTCCGTCCGTCCGTCTGTTACGCTTTGGGGTACCCATCTCTTATCCGCAACCCCTCTCATACCACTGAATGAAATTTGATGAAACTTTCACAGAATCTTTATTACATATTGTCATTGTGCACCTCCTATTTTACTTTTTGATCCGACACATATTTTGGGTTTCCCGGCCACAAGAAAACATAGACTTTTTCACCAGTTATAAACATATGGGAGGCGGGGGGTATCATTTAGTGAGCTCATCGCTCACAGTACCTCTAGTTGACACTTGAAATGAGTCTTTCCCAGTTAATGTACAGAGAATCAAACATTTTTAAAATAAAAACTAGAGGTACTGTGAGCAATGAGCTCACTAACTGATACCCCCCGCCTCCCATAATGTCGATGTTTTGCTATTGTTTTACGGTAATATGTAAAGAGGAATAACTCGTCTTATCAAATGTTATCCAGAAGCTTCAATAGGTGACGTCATAGGATATAAATATAGAATATAATGGCAATGTCCACGTTTTGCTTTGGGAAACCTAAAATACCAGTCGAATAAAAAAGTAAAATAGGAGTTGCACAATGGCAATATGTAATAAAGATTCTGTGAAAGTTTCATTAAATTTCATTCAGTAGTATAAAAGGAGTTGCGGATAAGAGGTGGGTACCCCAAAGCGTAACAGATGGACGGACGGACGTACAGAATTAACGATTACTATATACCCTCCCGCTTTTCAAGCGGGGGGTATAATAATAGAGTTAAAGAAAGCTTAGGTTAGTTGTGCTCAAGTATTCAAATACATGTATAGGTATTTATTTTACACACAAGATGCATCTGATATAAGTGTATGGAATATATAAATTTGGTAGATAGGTAAGCTTGTGCTCGATGTTTTCTGACAGAAAATCTGCTGTAAAATTTATTAAAATTTGCATAAAAATGAGAAAATTTGGAAATTGACATATTTTCCGACCTTTCTATGACCTCTGTGTATCCGATAACTTAGAACCAATACTCATTTTGTGGCAAAGGTGATAAGTGGTTTTCAATCTTTTAGATGTTGAATCATTCCAAAAGACACCCCAAACCAAAGGCCAAAAAGGGGTCTCACCCTACTTTGTCCTTTGCAGCTGAACGAACATACATTGCAATTAAAGTCGCAAATCATGACACATATTGCAAGACATCTCTAATTGTATTCAATGATTATAGAAATTATAGAAATTGGTAATTAGTGAAAAATTAAAGAAGCTATCGAAAAAATGCTTCATTTTTATGCCTTTTTATGTTGACTTTTTTTTACAAGGCAATTTCTAAGACGTCAATGAGCTTATAATTATATTGGAATGCATAAAATGAGAAAAAAGATGTTAATTTCAAGCTTCATTTTGAAATGTTTTGAATAATAAAATTAAGAACTATCCTTCCTTCCTTAGGAGCGGATTTCCTTAAAGAGAATTCATGTTGCTGATTTTCTCACCGTTGCAGATCTAACTGTAGCGCATTTTCATAAATTTTAAATTTAAATAGTTTTTTTTCAGCTCATAAAATCTATGTAATAGAAAATCTATCATATTTATTTTCAGAGAGACAAAAAAAAAAACAATCGACATATACATCATAATTGCTTTAGTTCTGATATTTACCCCATTATCTGACATGTATGGAATGTTGAACTGAATACCTCCTTTGAGCATAATGCAAGTGCCGTTTTCATCAGCCACTGCAAACATAATCACAGGGGGGTTTCCAGGATTTGGAATAGGTCCTATGTCTTCCTTACAGTCGTATCCTAAAATAAGATTAGATTATATCGATTTCAATGCATACTTGTATGATAACCGTATACTTTAAATCTATTTGTTGAAGTTTGTGGAAATGTACTTTTATCTTTACATTTGCATTAAATTAGATGTCGTTTATTGCGAAGATGGCCTTCTGTTGGCAAAAAAAGCTGTTCAAAATCTAAAAAAGGGAATACATGTGCAAAGAAATTAGATATATTGCACTATATTGAAATACCCAAGAACATAATCTGTGGATATGAATGAGCCTTCACTACCAATTGAACGAAAAAGGTGTTAAGGGTATAGTAAGTAGCTGGGGGGTAAAGCTGGATGGAAAAAAACCCATAAAATTACAGACTTGGGTAAACGAATTGTATCAATAAAAGTGAAAAGTAGGTCAAAACCTTTCACATCTCTCTCAATATTTTTATTATAATAAATATGTAATCAGGAAAAACTTATAAAATACCTAAAATTCTGATTAGGAAAATTGAAGATATAATCTCTTCGGATCATAAGCTAGTGATTCAATTTTGGATGTAACAGGTTAAAAATTGATTTATGTTGTATAACCTGGATTGCCTACGTCACAATGGATTACGCTTAAATAGCTACTCTTACTGTTATAACCTGGGAAGAGTAAAATGCCCCGACCTAGATTATACGTTTTACTTTGGTAGCCATAAATGCACTCCTTGAATTTTTCTTAAAAGGAAAGAAACCCTTCTAAATAAAAATGAAGTAAAGAATTAGACAGGATGCCAAATTGTCAACTTTTATTTAATGCGGTTTACATGTAATAATGACCTCCTTATTAAATTATCTGCAGTCAAAATCGAAAAAGGTGCAGGACAGAAACGTTGAAAACTCAGAAAGAGATTGAGGCAAAGATAAGACTGTAAAATAGACCAAAACAACATTCCTTAATCATCTAGCTATCAAAAGTAGAAAGTAATCCTGCAATAGAAAGAATAGAAACTTGCTCGAATTTTTTTGTAACTTTGATCTCCAATTACCAGAGAAACTAGAGGAACTGTGAGCAATGAGCTCACTAAATGATACCCCGCCTCCCATAATGTCGATGTGTTGCCATATATTGTTTTACGGTAATGTTTAAAGAGGAATTACTCGTCCTATCAAATGTTATCCAGAATCTTATATTATGTGACGTCATAGGTAAACAAACAAGAGGCCCATGGGCCACATCGCTCACCTGAGAAGCTTTGACCATTCTGTTCTTTACCAGATTCCCCCCTTGTTATACATAATGCATCCCCACCCTACCCCTCTGATCATAATTTAGACATTTTGAAATCTACACTACCCCATGATCTTTCAATGGGCACATATGTTTCAGCTTTTTTGGCCCAGTGGTTCCTGAGAAGCCCTTCCCCCAGGGGTCATGATTCCTACAATTTAGAATTTACACTACCCCAGAATGCTTCCACATAAGCTTCACTTTTTCTGGCCCAGTGGTTCTTGAGAAGAAGATTTTTAAAGATTTTTCCTATATATTTCTATATAAAACTTTGATTCCCCATTTTGGCCCCGCTCTTCCCCCGGGGGTCATTAGTTGAACAATTTAGAATCCACATTATACCAGGATGCTTCCACATAAGTTTTAGCTTTTCTGGCCCAGTGATTCTTGAGAAGAAGATTTTCAAAGATTTTTCCTATATATTTCTATGTAAAACTTTGATACCCCATTGTGGCCCTGCCCTTCCCCCAGGGGTCATGATTTGAACAATTTTTAAATCTACACTATACCAGGGTGCTTCCACATAAGTTTCAGCTTTTCTGGCCCAGTGGTTCTTGAAAAGAAGATTTTCAAAGATTTTTCCTATATATTTCTATATAAAACTTTGATTCCCCATTGTGGCCCCGCCCTTCCCCGGGGGGTCATTATTTGAACAATTTAGAATTTACATTATACCAGGATGCTTCCACATAAGTTTCAGCTTTTCTGGCCCAGTGGTTCTTGAGAAGAAGATTTTCAAAGATTTTTCCTATATATTTCTATGTAAAACTTTGATTCCCCATTGTGGTCCCACCCTTCCCCCGGGGGTCATGATTTGAACAATTTAGAATCTACACTATACCAGGATGGTTCCACATAAGTTTTAGCTTTTCTGGCCCAGTGGTTCTTGAGAAGAAGATTTTCAAAGATTTTTCCTATATATTTCTATGTAAAACTTTGATTCCCCATTGTGGCCCTGCCCTTCCCCCGGGGGTCATGATGTGAACAATTTAGAATTTACACTATACCAGGATGATTCCACATAAGTTTCAGCTTTACTGGCCCAGTAGTTCTTGAGAAGAAGATTTTTTAATGACCCAACCCTATTTTTGTCTTTTCTTGATTATCTCCCCTTGCGAGGGGATATGTCCCTTCATTTTAACAATTTAAATTCCCCTTCATCCAAGAATGCTTTGTACCAAGTTTGGTCAAAATTGGCCCAGTGGTTCTTGAGAAGAAGTCGAAAATGTGAAAAGTTTACAGAAAGACAGACAGACGGACAGACAGATGGACACCGGAGAAAATGTTATCAGAAAAGCTCACTTAAGCTTTCAGCTGAGGTGAGCTAAAAATGGCAATGTCCATGTTTTGCTCTGGGAAACCTATAATACGTGTCGAATAAAAAAGTGAAATAGGAGGTGCACAATGGCAATATGTAATAAAGATTCTGTGAAAGTTTCATTAAATTTCACTCAGTAGTATATGAGGAGTTGCGGATAAGACAAAAAGCGTAACAGACGGACGGACGGACGGATGTACAGACGGACGGACGGAAATCCCGATCACTATATACCCTCCCGCTTTTCAAGCGGGGGTATAAATATGAGGTCATTATATGTTCCATTTAGACTTCTTACAGACTTGTTATTAAATGTAAGGAAAATGGACCTTGTTTTGTTTGCTTGTTGTTGTTTAACGTCTGAGAAATTTGAGCAAAAATAAAAAAAAAAACGGTTCAAACTAATTACTAGGCATTAATGGTTAATCAATAGTCTTGATGTTTATTAAAAGGGGAATATTCAGTAAATATAAATTATTTACCGTTTTCTGAAAATATTCCTTTCTCCACATTAAATGCTTGTACTCGTAAATTTCTGAACGTAAAAGTCATGGTGTCGTCTGAGAAATTTCCCCCTACGTCACATTTATAATAAAACTTGGGGATTGACAGCTTCAACGGTTTGCCGGTTATCACGTGATTTAACTCACCTGAAATTTTATTGTTCAATATAAATGAATGGATGTACATATAGTTACATGTATAACTATTGATACATGCATATCTTATTAAATATGTCTCTGATCAGTACTCTCTAGCTGTAACAAGAGGCCCATGGACCTTTTATGTCACCTGAGCATCATGTAACAACTTTCTTACTATTGTATTTGGTTCATGTTTTTAACCCGAGGCCATGACATTCACAATTTGGAAAGAGGTACCGTTGCTCATCATAACTATACACTTAGCATGCATACTTTGGTACCTTAATCGCAATAGACAGAGTGGGGGAAATGCATATTAACAAATCAGCATAAATCAGTAATAACCAGTACTGCCAAAACCCCACAGGAACCCCAACCCGGAAGCCACACATTTCAAAATTTTGGAAAAAGGACCATTCGCTCATCATATCGATCATCGTTTTATTGATTTCAAAGTATTAATTCATTCTTAGTATATAAGAAGATTCCCACCCTAACACCAAAACTCCCCACGGTACCCCAGACACAGGGGTCTTGAATTTCACGTTTTTGCAAGAAGAACCGTTGCTCATAATAGATATTATAGGTAATTCAACTGCTCAATATCAAGCAGCAAAGGAGGAGATTTTCAAAGAATCAATGCACATTAACGATGAAATCTATAGAACCTACGCTAAAACCCCTGACCATGGGCCATGAAATTTATAATTTTCGATGAGTTACCCTACAAGTGTCGTTACCACACTTATAGTTTGTTTAATACCCAGGAGCAGAGAAGAAGGTTCCCCCCCCAAAAAAAATGCATTTTCACTATATAATCAATAGATCCACACCAACGCCAAAGCCCTGGGGCTTTGAAACTTACAATTCTGTGAACTCACAACCTTCTTCATTATAACTTTACATTAAATTTGTTTAATACCCAGAAGCAGAGAAGATTTTCAAAGAAATAATGCATTTTCACTATGTAATCTGTATCGCCCCGCCTTGCACTAGATTGTATTAATTTTGGTCGTTTTTGTCCCACCCTTAAGCCCCAAGGGTTCAAGGACTATGACATTCACAAGTTTTATTCTCCTTTACCCTTAGATGCTCTAAACCAAAACTGGTTGAGCGGTTAAAGAGAAGAAGTGAAAATATTAACACACGACGGATGACGACAGACGAAACAGATAGCAATAAGTCACCTGAGGTTTCTCTTGTGACCTGAAAAAAAGCCCCTGCACCAAACTTAAACTACATTAATATAGCTACATTGATTTGAAGCCCAAACCGCATCCACGTAAAAAAGAAAACATACCATGGCTATTCATTTAAAAGTGACACTACACGTACTCCTTTTAAATTTTACACTTAATAGAAATGGAACCTCTTTTATAATGTTAAGTGTCTTCCATACTTCTGATTTGAAACGAAGTCACAACCTATTCATCAAGCGGTTTTCGAAGAGAGCATCTTTTTCGGAACCACCCTGTGGACACTGTTAACATGAAGACGAAGGAAAGTCCTTAAAGGACATTCTGAACGTCAGGTAGTATATCAAATATCGTTTTCTAATGAATATCAAGGGAAAAGAAATTTTCAAAGAACTCGTATCATTATATGGAAACTCTGTTGTGACTATCTAAACTGTTTATCGATGGATAAAGCATTTCAAACTTGGTAGGGATTCAGTTGAAAATATCAAACAGTCAGGAAGGCCAAGATCAATTATCAATGGGAAATCGGTTGCAACAGTAAAGAATATTATCGACAGAGACGGCAGAGTGACTGAGAAACCAGATTGCCAAGAAACTGAACATTTCATCGGGTAGCATTTCTAAAATTTTAAAACAACATTTTGGAGTCAGAAAAGTACCTGCGAGGTGGATTCCACACGTTTTAAATGACGAGCAAAAAAGAAAGTGATTACAAATTTCTCGAAAACTTATGGGAAATGTGTTAAAAGACGTCTACATAAAATTGTTACGGGGGATGAAACTTTGCACATTTTAATGAATCTGAGGGAAAGAAGGGAAACAAAATTGGGCTCCTTAAACAAAGTAAACAACCTACATTTGCTAAACACGTGGAAACAGAAAGGAAGGCTTATATGCCATCTTTTTCGATTCAAACGGGATAGTCGCTCAGATTACAATTAAAAAGGGCAGAAGTGTTACTAAAGTTGCTTACGTGAAAAAGATACTGCCGGGGGTACAAAAACACTGCAAAAACAGAAGACCAAAGTCGGGAATGAGGGGGGTCATGCTTTTACATTATAATTCCCGAGCACACACTGCAAAGTACACGCAAGATTTCTTGTTGGAAAATGGAATACAACAATTGGATCACCCCTTTATTCACCAGATTTATCCCCATGTGACTTTTTCTTATTCCCTAAATTGAAAAAGATGCTATCTGGAAGGCGTTTAGATTCTCGTTCTGCATTGAGTTCAGCTGTGTATCAGTGTCTAAAGAGCATACATCTTTAGAGTAGAGAGGCGCGTTCCAAAGCTTCATAAACGACTTAAAGATGTGTTGAAGTAAAAGGTAATCATTTTGAAGGGATTTAAATAAAATAGAAAAGAATCATATGTTATTTCTTACTTTATTGAAGAAGTCTCTAATGAATAGCCCTCGTAAAGTCATATGCTTTTGGTGTGATACCTACATTTCGGATAGGTGCTAAACTTGACATCTGGGAACATTCTAACATCAACATCTGCAGACATGAATACCAGATAAGATTTGCCTTCAATGATTTCAAAATTAAATGACAAGGATTTAATTTCTGCATTCTCTGCTGTTATGGTAAGGCTGGAAGTGTCGTCATTTCCACTGGCACAAGTTCCATCGACTTTAACTTTACTGCTCTTTGGGACATTTATAATTCTTTTGGCCTGCAATGTAGAAACGAATATCTCATTAACAAATCCTTTTTTATTTTGCTTAAGGAACTCATTACACCATTTTTTGATGAAGTACTACACAAAAAATAAACCTCCATTGCGTCGACCGGTTTCCTCTGCGGACGAATCGTACAGGAACCTCTATAATATGACCCTGACCTTTAAAACGCTTTAAAAATAGATGAAACATGCGGTGTTATAAACAGTGAAAACAAAGTAACAGATTCATTATGCATACACCAAGAAGCTGAAACAAGATACTAGTAACAACAGTCAAATCTTCGCCAAACAAGTAATGTCAATTTCATAGCGATGCATGCAGTGAGCTCTATCAATCAATGACATGTTTGTATGGAGGAAATTCAAGTTAAAATCTACAACCTTGTTGAAATTAAAATTTTATTTACTTGCACTATTTACTGTGTTGGTGTTAATTTATATATTTACTTTATTGATTTAAATGTATACTCTGACAAATCAAAGCCTTCTTCTGAATTTTAGATGTAATGTCAAACGTTTTGAGTCTTGGGTAATTAGGAAAGATAACTCTTTTTAAGTGGACTTTTTATACCAAATAATTTTTAAACTGGATTTTTCATTTTGTTTAAACATTCTTCATTCAATTTGACACATGTAATTCATACATTCCTTGTCTCTTCAGAATTTTTTTTTCTTCATGTTTTATGCATAGATTAAAAAGATAATGACATTAATTGATTTTTAGGATAAAATTATATTTTCTAATAAATATAATTATTATTAGGTATTATGAGGTATTTTCTCTGTGTATTCTTGTCTTAAGAAGATGCCCATCATTTGACACTGAAAGTTCTGAAATTCTAATTAGAAAACATTCTTTGTTTTTTTCTAAAGCATTTTTCTGTATATTCGTAAGAATTGTCTTGTAAATTCTCATAAAGGTTTTTACTCTTATGCTTGCTTTCACCATGAATTTTGATTTGCCCAATCTCGGCAAGTGCGATTTGATGTGAGAAAACCTATAAACTATCTGAACCTTCATGCACTATATTATCAGCTATTTAAGTGGGGACCTATGTCCGAAAAGTCTTTGTGTGAAATTTTCAAAACTTTGACATCTCTTTCCTGACCACTTACTTTTAATATTTAGGTATTAAAAACAATACCTTTATATGCTGTGTTGCAACCACTATTGAAATAATGACCACTATTGAAATAATTATATCAATAGTGGTTGAGAGTGCATTTCAATAGCAAACATAGTTAGTAACCACTATTGAAATATGACCACTATCGAAATAATTATATCAATAGTGGTTGAGAGTGCATTTCAATAGCAGTCATAGTTAGTAACCACTATTGAAATACGACCACTATTGAAATGAATATATCAATAGTGGTTGAGAGTGCATTTCAATAGCAGTCATAGTAAGTAACCACTATTGAAATACGACCACTATTGAAATTATTATATCAATAGTGGTTGAGAGTGCATTTAAATATAATGACCATAGGTTTCAGCCACTATTGAAATACCAGCACTACTGAAATAATTATTCAATTGTGGGTTTGATTGCATTTCAATATGATTACCATAGCTTTCAAACGCTATTAAAATACTACCAGGATTGAAAGAAAAGTTTCACCGCAGCATTTGAAATATTTATTTCAATATATTGGATTCATTGTTGAATTTACTATTGAAATCAGTAATTTAATCCATATTAAAATCTTTATTTCAAAAGTGAACATTATTTCAATAGTGGTTGCAACCTATGTTTATTATTAAAATGAATCTCACCCACTATTGAAATAATTATTTCAATAGTGGTCGTATTGCAATAGTGGTTATTACCCATGTTTATTATTGAAATGCACTCTCACCCACTATTGAAATAATTATTTCAATAGTGGTCGTATTTCAATAGTGGTTACTAATTATGTTTGTTATTGAAATGCACTCTCAACCACTATTGATATAATCATTTCAATAGTGGTCGTATTTCAATAGTGGTTACTAACTATGACTGCTATTGAAATACACTCTCAACCACTATTGATATAATTATTTCAATAGTGGTTGTATTTCTATGGTGGTTACTAACTATGTTTCTTATTGAAATGCTCTCTCAACCACTATTGATATAATTATTTCAATAGTGGTCGTTATTTCAATAGTGGTTGCAACAATGCTTATTTTTACACAGGAGCACGTGCAAAAACAGTGTGAAATACTAAAAATAGATTATTTTCAGACATTGTTGTTCTACTCCAAATATGCGCTAAAAAGAACAAAATATGTCAAATCACATTCGAAATCAACATGTATTAAATTTACATAACTTGTAGCTTTAAGATGAAGGCAAATTCATTGTAATTCATCTCGCATGAAAAATTATAAAGGAGTACAAAGGAAGTATCACCCCGTTTTTCTCGTCGTATTTTTTACAATTCCGACATGCATAACAGGTTACATATATCTGAAAAAGTCTTTGTGTGAAAATGTTTTAATTCATATTTTTTGAAAGAAATGACCCCTCTTTTTATTTTAACAAAGAAAAAAGTATACATCTATGATAAAATAAACGAGAAATATGACGTTTTCTTTTATTTTTGTACTCTTCCGTCATAAATATTGACCTTTCTGCACTAAAAAAGGTAAGTTAGCACTGACAAACAACTGAATATAAAACTATTTTGCAAAAAACGAATATTTGTTTTGATGAGAAATAATTTAAACAGATAAACTCTTTTCTTCTTCATTCTAATCATTCTGCCCCCCCCCCCTTTCCACGTCAACAACCAACACCTAATAGAAACTAGGAATGACTTTATACAATAAAGTCTGAATGTACACTATAAATCAATAAGTAAATAAAGGTACAAGTACATTTCTTAATTTTTCCTTAGTTTTATACAGAAAATACAATCAATGGTAATCATAAAATTAAACATATTTCCCTCATGCCGCTGTCTTTACTGATTTTTTTCTTATATTTTTTTGCATTTTTATATCAGCATATCACGGAGTTATTTCTTCACAACTGAAATTGCTATAAATTATCAACCAAAGGAAGAGAATTCTAATGTTAACAAACTCCATAAATCAAATAAAACTGTTATAAATGATGCATGAAAAAAATTCTTGTTGTAAACTGTGTACGTTATTGATTAATAACAATGTTATGTCTATAATCACAGTTGCAAAAGTCAGCGGAAAAAAACAAACGTCGCTATTGTGACGTCACATAACGCTGCTTTGACGTAGAACGACATAAGTCCCCCCTTAAAAACTTGTAGGACATTATTCTTCCTTTTTTAATTATGGACCTGTTTTGACAGTATCCAGTGGCTTGGAATAATTTGTATATTTTTTTGTTTAATTTGTTTTAAACAAATCCATGAAACATTACATCAACAATTAACATCATAAATTCATTAAGACATGTACATTTTTTTAAACTGACGAAAACTTACAATTCCATTATCCCATTTAATTTAAGTCACAATTAGTTGGAAGTGTCCCTCTATGATGAGACAGGCTATAGAATTCTCCGTGACTTTGTATGAGTACGTTTGAGGGGATACTGGAATGGTGGACATATAAGTGGAAGCAGTTGTGTATGCGTCTACTGTTACATTGCTCGGCCAGAATGTTGTTACTGGGAATTCCCTTGTTTGCAATGTGCATTTGTCATGAAGACACTCAAACACTGAAATAATATCATAAAAAGAAGAAATATATTCAGTACACTTAGAAGTGAAATTTTACATTCTCAATTTTAAACGTATAAGAGAACCATGTAGTAAAATTGCAAAGCGGCGCATATAGCTCTAAAAGTTTGGTAATCACATTTGTTGAGCCTCCAATTACCATTGCATGAATAAAACTTCTCATATTTCAGACTTATAATATAAAAAAAAGAAATTGATAACTGGATTGCTAACAATACCAAAAACCTTTTCTATAGGCTATACGACCACTGAGCTCACTCAATGATAACCCCACCTCCCATATGATTATAATTGTGAAGTCCATGTTTTGCTCTGGTATACCCGAAATAAGTGTCACATCAAACAGTAAAACTGGAACTGTACAAATGAAATTGGTATTATGCAATAAAGAATTGAATCTGTGAAAGTACCCAAAGTTGTAACAAACGAATGGAGACGGACAGATGAACATCCCGATCATTATATACCTTGCAACTTTTCAAGCGGGGACATATGTTTTAAAATCATTGTTGCTGTGCTATGCATGGACTCTAAAATATTCCCAATGTCTCCTCAATAATCGGAATATGGGATTTAAGTAACATCTTACCATTAGTGCTGAGTTTTCCATTTCTTATATTAAAAGCCTGAATCTGGACACCAGACATATCCATGTCCATGGTGTAAATTGTGTCCTCCAGCTCTCCAATCAATGTAATTCTCTGAGGGGGTATACACTGATACAGCTGGGTGTCTCTTCCAAGGTTCAAGTCTGCAGTATCCAACAAATTTGTTGAAGCTGTAATGTTTATCCACATGATCAAATGATACATAATAATGAAATGGATTAAAAGATAAAATGGACATTGCATCTTGTTGCTTTAGTTGTAAAAGTTAATTAACATGCGTAATGTCAAATGATATCTTACTTGCTATTGGTGTTCCTGGAAAGAATTCAAATGGAGCAAATGTAAACATCAAGCTCATGTTTACTGATAAATCAGGGAGATCAATGAAAGTCAAGATCAAAAAGTCTTCATTGGAATTTGTCAGTGTCAATACGGACTGATACTCTCCTACAGTTGCACAATCTCCACTTCTCACAGTGAAATTACTTCCATCAAATCTTACAGTTTCATTTCCATTACTCAGGGTAAACAGAACATCCATCTTGACATCAATACAGGTTTCATTGTTGTCGTACATGTACTTATATTCTGATCCTTGTGTCAGTGATAATGCTTGATTTGTCAAAGTTAAAAGAAACTGAACAATAATTAATATCAAAGCCATGTCTGGAATGATATATATAATTTAAATACAGTTAATCACTTAAAATCGAGAGAACTTTATTTTTGTGTAATTTGGCGAAACAATGAGCTCGCGAAAATTTCACATTCTCGCGTATAATAGTATTCCTTTCGATTATATAGAGGAATAACAACAATTTGTGAAAATTATGTCTCGCTAATAAATAGTTAATACATAAAAATAATTAATAATATGTCTCGCTAATAAATAGTTTCTCACAAAAATATGGTGTCGCAAAAAGTGATCTACAGTAAGTACATGCATGTGTACAAGTCATTCTCTTCGCAAAGAAGTAAATGCACCATAAAAGCATATGGGTTTCTCTGGTTATAAAAGGGGGAATATAAGCATGCCTAAACTTCATTATTTTATAATTTAAAATGTAGAGAATTCTATCAGAAATTATTTCATAGAATTTTCTATATATTCTGAATTCCTCAGAAAATTGGTACAGTAACCAAATTATTTATTACAGTCTCTGGTTTGTTCTACTTGACAGGTTTCCGATTTTCTAGCTGTGGTGAAGACAATTGAATAATTCAACTACATGTAATTTTATTAATAACTATGTAATTAAAAAGTAAACAAAATTAATGTTTACTTTCAATTTTCAAATTCAAGTAAGAATTTTAAAAGATTTTATTTTAATGCACTACTTACCCCACAGAAATATTGTTCCAAGGGAAATTGTCTTGCAAATATAGTTTGACATCGAACGTTCGGGGTGTGTCTCAAACTCGTTCTAAATTATACTACTAGGAATGGACATAACCAACATCGTTTACTAAAAATGATAGGCTTACAAATACAGAGATGTATTTATATATACATATTGTAAAGTATGACTTAGAGGATTTACTTTCGTTTACTTTTATCAAATAATTTTACGGCACACTGTTATCTCACAAGATACACAAGTTGTTGACATATTACACTTTATACATTTTCCCCCTGCGATGTTCCTCTATATATTGATTATCTGTATATAACTCCATATCTTTATCAAATTTATAAACAGTGGTACAGTAATAAGATAACGGAAATTAATTTTTACTACTGAAAAAATATTAGTTCAACGCCACTGTGTGAACTTACATGTGTGTGAATTTTTTACTTCTCTTAAACTATGACTTTTTATTTAATAAGCGATGGAAACATAATATGACTTAAGGAAATCTATGTAAGAAAGGCAAAGTTATAAAATGTCTTAAGAGGGAATCGGTGATTTATAAATGTTAGATGTTATTGATATACAAATTATCACAACCCATGGGTCTTCTCGAAATTGTCGAAAGAATATCAATTATCACCGGCGGAAACCAATGTTCCAACAAGCTTAAAACCAATAAATTTGTACTTTGCAGCACGTGTTTTGAATAATCATGCATTTTCTTTTTGTCACCATTATCAATTTTTAAGAACTGGTTTAACTAAAAACACAAAAAATGGCGAAATAGTCTTTTGGGAAGAAGGGAGAGGCATTGGAATGTTAAAGAGGTAAACTTAAGCCCAAGGAGGGTCTAGGCGTTGACCACAAGGCTTCTGTGTGATGCACTGGCCTATCAAATTTCCGGATCTGAATCTAATTGAACGTATTTGGGATTTTTAAAGGCAATGTTGAAGCCCCCTCTACACAATTTTAACGGTTTAGAAAGATCAATGCAGTAAGTGTGGCAAGAGATAGGTCAACTTATCCAGTTTGGTTCAGTGTATATGTTGATCTTGACTCGGAATTAAAATATCATAGCTTTATCCGAGGATTTTGTCTAATTACACAAAGTATGGGCTTTATCTGAAGAACGTCAATTAGAGGAGCTAAAGGAGGACACCCTTGTATTGCTGATTTTGAAATTGAAAAGTATTTTGATGCTAATCAATGTGTTTTACTGTAATTTCTTTGTATTCAACAAAGCTTGTATGCTAAATTGCCAATTTAAATGGTTGTAAAAAGTAGGCTGGAATCTAGAGTTAACGTGCATAGTTCTTCTCAGATATATACAACATAAGGCCCTCATCAGGAACAGTGCGTTATTTTGCTAGTTTGTCACTTTCAGAAGTACAGTTTATAATTATAAGAATCTTAAATTTTTTGTTAAATCTAGTATAAATCTTAAATCATAAGCTCGTAGATGTCCATTTTGTATATAAAGATCTTGATATTGGAAATGTCCATCTTCTATAGCCGAACCCATCCAGTACATGTAATTCCGAAATAGTCACTGAGATAATTTTAGTTAATTTCATTATTTTAACTCAATTTTAGATAATTTTAATTAAATCAAGAAACTTATGCAGAAACAGACGGGTATCCTTTCTTAACTTTTATTCCCCTTCATCTATCAAATATAATTTATCTGCATTTGAAATGCATTAATTTAAAACAATCTTAATACATTGAATAAATTGGATCAAAGCTCTATAAAAATATATTCAGCACATTAAAAAACCATGTAAAGTTGGCTCTAAATATTATTATTTTGAGAAAAAATAGAAATACGGTTTTCTATGAAATCATGTCATAATATTTCATTGACGATAAACTTATCATCTACAAGCTTGAATTTACGTATAGTAAAATTTTGTGTTTATCTAATATAACATTATTGAAAAAGCGTTAAAGTTTTTTTTATCGTTTACTAAATACAAAAACACACACACACACCCTCACTCACACGTTTCCTAAATGAAACATCACAAGCTCAAAATAAACTAGAGGTACGGTGAGCGATGAGCTCACTAAATGATACCCCCCGCCTCCCATATGGTTATTACTGGTGAAAAGTCCATGTTTTCCTGTGGCCGGGAAACCCAAAATATGTGTCGGATCAAAAAGTAAAATAGGAGGTGCACAATGGCAATATGTAATAAAGATTCTGTGAAAGTTGCATCAAATTTCATTCAGTGGTATGAGAGGAGTTGCGGATAAGAGATGGGTACCCCAAAGCGTAACAGACGGACGGACAGACGGAAGGACAGACGGACGGACAGACGTACAGACGGACGGAATTAACGATTACTATATACCCTCCCGCTTTTCAAACGGGGGATGTAATTAGAGGTACTGTGAGCGATGAGCTCACTAAATGATACCCCCCGCCTCCATAAAGTTATAATGGCAAAGTCCATGTTTTGCTGTGGCCTTGAAACCCAAAATATGTGTCGGAAGGACGGACGTACAGTCGGACGGAATTTAACGATTACTATATACCCCCCCCCCGCTTTTGAAGCGGGGGGTATAATTATACATGTACCCCCTGCTTGAAAAGCGGGAGGGTATATAGTAATCGGTATTTCCGTCTGTCTGTACGTCTGTCCGTCCGTCCGTCTGTTACGCTTTGGGGTACCCATCTCTTATCCGCAACTCCTCTCATACCACTGAAGGAAATTTAATGATACTTTCACAGAATCTTTATTACATATTGCCATTGTGCACCTCCTATTTTACTTTTTGATCTGACATATATTTTGGATTTTCCAGAGCAAAACATGGATACTGCCAATATATTCATATGGGAGGCGGGGGTATCATTTAGTGAGCTCATTGCTCACACTACCTCTAGTTACAGTTTAAATTAAATTGCACTACCTGAATGAGTTGCATGTCTGAAAAAGCAAAAAAGCTTCGACATCTGTATATACATGTTCATTGCAATATTATTATACCCCCCGCTTGAAAAGCGGGAGGGTATATAGTAATCGTTACTTCCGTCCGTCTGTACGTCTGTCCGTCCGTCCGTCTGTTACGCTTTGGGGTACCCATCTCTTATCCGCAACTCCTCTCATACCGCTGAATGAAATTTGATGCAACTTTCACAGAATCTTTATTACATATTGCCATTGTGCACCTCCTATTTTACTTTTTGATCCGACACATATTTTGGGTTTCCCAGCCAGAGGAAATCATGGACTTTTTCACCAGTTATAACCATATGGGAGGCGGGGGTATCATTTAGTGAGCTCATTGCTCACACTACCTCTAGTTGTCTTTTTGATAAAGATGGAAATCAATATGTTAATCGTTCATAACTCTGACGTTTCTTGTGTACAATAAAAGCCACTGTGACTAAAAGTAGAAGTCCTCCTAATGCTGCTCCTGTTGAAATTAACAGGATATAATTATCTTCACTGCCTCCATTGTCTCCCCTGTCTTTACAGTTGACTGCCGCTATATAAAGAAAATTTTATACAAAATTATATTCATTAAGTAGGTTTTATCATCATATTAAATTTACATATATTGACCTCTAATTTGATATCTGTGTACGTCGTTACCATGCCAGT